ATCTCACCAAGGCTATTGACACAGTTAGTTGTGAAGGATTATGGCGCATTATGTCGAAGTTTGGGTGCCCTGACAGATTTATTCTGATGGTATGGCAGTTCCATGATGACATGGCGGCTCGTGTTCTGAATTAACGGTGGAGCCTCAGAGGCCTTCCCTGTCACTAACGGCATTAAGCAAGGCTGCGTGCTGGCATCAACCCTGTTCAGCATGATATTTTCAGCCATGCTGTCAGAGGCCTTTCAGAACAGCTCAGTGGGAGTTAATCTAAGGTACAGAACCGATGGGAAACTGTTCAACCTGTGAAGACTTCAGGCTGTCACCAAGGTAAAAGAGACTGTGCTACGAGATTTCCTCTTTGCTGATGACTGTGCCCTTAATGCAGGATCAGAGCAGGAAATGCAAGCCAGCATGGACAAATTCGCAGCCGCTTGTGACAACTTTGGCCTCTTCATCAACACGAAGAAAACTGAAGTGGTGTACAAGCCAGTTCCAAAAGCCCAATATCAAGAGCCTACCATCACAGTAAAGGGACAAAAGCTGCAAGCAGTGGACCAATTTATGTATCTTGGTAGTACCCTTTCCCGTGCAGTGACAATTGACATCGAGGTCAACTGTAGAATTGCCAAGGCATGTTCTCCATTTGGCAGATTGTGGACTAACGTGTGGGACTGCCGTGGAATAAGCCTTGCTACTAAGCTTAAAGTTTACCAGGCAGCACTGCTAACTACCCTGATGTATGCTAGTGGGACCTGGATAGTGTACAGGAGGCATGTTAGGCAACTTAACTACTTCCACATGACTTGCCTTCATAGAATTCTGAGGATTCGGTGGCAGGATAAGATACCAGACACATATGTCCTCTCCAGAGCAGGCCTATCATCAGTTTACACTCTGTTGATGAAAACCCAGATGCGCTGGGCAGGCCATGTTGTAAGGATGCCAGATCATTCTCCATCTCCGTACTAAGAAAAGGCGTTCAGGTAAGACAATGCCCCTTCTCCAGCACTGGAGATGGAGAATCCACCAATGGAATATACCAAAGCCTACTGTCCCTGAGGGTGGGAAGCAGACTGGTCTGGTGTGGCACTTTGATGTATAACCTGTTGGAGAACCCTCCTACCGAAGGAAGCCTTCATGGAGGCAAACCTATCGATCTTGTACTGCCGAATAAAAGGAGATGGCGAAGCCCATATGGCCACCCTGCAGACTTCCTCAATGGATGCCTGGGTAGCCCAGGCCACTGAAGTTGCTGCACTCCATGTGGAGTGGGCTGTAACCCATCTTGGAACCAGCAATGACTCAGCTTGATACGCTCCGGCAGTGCATGCTCTAATTCACCTGCCAATTGTGGAAGAGGAAACCTTCCGACCTCTGGAGGAAGAGTGAAAAGATATAAAGAGGGCCTCTGGTTTGCGGAATTCTGCTGTCCGTGAAATATAGTACCGAAGTGCTCTGTGGACGTCCAAACTATGCCGTTGCCATTCCAGAGAGTGTGATGCGTTGGGGCAAAAATCCGGCAGCACTATCTCCTGTGATCTATGGAACAGAGAGTTGACTTTCGGGACAAAGGTAGGGTCAAGTCAGAGGATCACTCGATCCTGGTGGAAAATGCACAAGACATCCCGGATCGAGAGTGCTGCCAATTCGGAGATGCGTCGTGCCAACGTGATTGCCACCAGGAACACCACCTTGTGGGACAGGTAGCGAACATCGCATATCCTTAGGGGCTCAAAGGGTGACTTAAATAAGAGCCCGAAGGACCCGTGGTAGCTCCCACAAAGGGTACCTGTGCACGGTAGGGGGTCTGGTGTTAGCGGCCCCTTTAAGGAATGAGCGGAGTAAGGGGTGATGACCCAATGTCGCCGCTGAGTTGCATGTGAGGACCGTTGAAAGAGCAGCAACCTGCCTGCCTAATGTGTTTGGGGCCAAACCCCTCTCCAGACCATCTAACAAGTAGTCTAAGATATGGGGAATTGTGAGTTCCGAGAGCAACAACTGTCACCCAGAGCACCATAATTGGACGTTTTTCCATGTGGCCTCGTAAATACGGTTTGTAGAAGGGCGGCAGGAGGCCTGGATTACTGTGATGACCCCCGGCAAGCAAAGCTCCCTTGTTAAGATTGAGCGCTCAAGTGCCAGATGGCTAACTGGAGCCATTGGGGGTCCGGATGGAGAATAACCCCTTGACTGAGAGAGACCCGCTCCGGGGGGGATCCGCCAGGGGTCTGCGAGGGAAAGGCTCATCAGATCGGCGAACCAAGGTCTCCTTGGCCAATAATGAGCCACCAGGAGTATCTCCGCTCACTCCCGAAGGAGCTTGCATATTACTGCCGGGAGAAGAGGTAGAGGGGGAAAGGTGTAAAGCAGACCCTGCGGCCATGGGCTCTGAAGAGCATCCGCCTGTTCTGCCCCTGCAGATGGGAACTGGGAAAAGAAGCGAGTCAGCTGGGCATTGGATGAAGACGCAAAGAGGTCCATAAGTGGGAGGCCGAAACGGTGACAAATTTCTCTGAAGATCCTCGGATGGAGGCGCCATTCCGAGTGATCTACCGTTGTCCTGCTCAGAAGATCTGCCTGGGTGTTCGCTTCTCCTGAAATATGATTGGCCTTGATGGAGGCCAGATTGTGTTCTGCCCAGGAACCCAGAAAGAGAGACTCGGTCAAAAGAGTCCGAGAGCGGGTACCCCCTTGGCGGTTTACATGAGCCTTGCCTGCCACATTGTCCATGAGGACCAGTACATGACGCCGTGCCACCAGGTTGTGAAAGTGACGAAGGGCTAGATGGATGGCTTGTAGTTCGAGCCAGTTTATGTTGTGCCGGAGGTCTGAGTTGGACCAACGGCCCTGTGCCCACTGCAACCGAAGGTGTGCTCCCCAGCCGAACAGGCTGGCATTGGTTGTGAGTACTATCCAGTACTTGCACTGTTAGAAATGCATATTTAGAGTCTGTGTAAATATTAATACACTTCCCTTTTGCCAACTCCAGAGCTCTAGTTAATGCATGCAGTTCAGCTAGTTGAGCACTTGTACCGGGCGGAAGAGGCTCGGCTTCCCATATTTCCTCCAAAGTCACCACAGCATATCCTGCCTTTCGAATTCCTTCCTGCATAAAACTAGTTCCATCAGTGTATAGGGTAAAGTCTGGATCCAGCAGGGGAACATCTTTCATGTCTGGGCGACTAGCGTAAGTTGCTTCAATTGCTTGTATGCAGCTGTGTGTGGTTTCCAAGTCTGGTTCAGGCAGCAGCGTGGCTGGATTCAGTGAGTTAGATTGAATTAATGTGACTGCTGGGTTATGGGTTATTAAGGCTTGATATTTTAACATGCGTGGGTTGGTCAGCCACAAGTGCCCCTTTGCTTCTAAAACAGCTTTAAGAGCATGGGGTGTGTAGATATCTAACTTCTGCCCAAAAGTCAATTTGTTGGCTTCCTGTGTTAGTAACGCCGCTCCTACAATTGCTTTGAGGCAAGCCGGCCACCCTCTGGCTACATTATCAAGCTGTTTAGACAGATAAGCAACCGGGCGATGCCAGGCCCCCATTTTCTGGGTGAGAACTCCTACAGCCACATTTTGTTTTGTATCTACAAACAATTAAAAGGGTTTTTCCAAATTCGGTAACCCTAGACTCGGAGCACACATTAAAGCTTCTTTGAGAGCTTTAATGTGTGCTCTTATCTTCCTGCTTCTCCCATTGCAACGGTTCTTTATCACCTCCCTTGGTTGCTTCATACAGGGGTTTTGCTATCAGGCTAAAGTTGGGGATCCATATTCTGCAAAAGCCAGCAGCCCCTAAAAAACCTCTTAACTCTTTTCTGTTTTTCGGGACAGGCAGCTGACAGATGGCTCCTTTTCTTTCATGTCCTAGTGTTCTCTTTCCCTCCTCTATGTCATATCCCAGATATCTAACTCTCGTGGCTACCAATTGGGCTTTTTTACGGGATGCCTTGTAGCCTCGGTCTTGTAAGAGCTGAAGCAATGCATAAGTATTCTGCCAGCAGTCCTCTTCTGTCTGACCAGTGACTAATAGGTCATCAACATATTGCAGCACCACGTCTGGGTGGGGGATGTCTAAGTCCTCTAAGTCCTTTCCTAATGCAGCTCCAAAGAGAGTGGGGGAGTTCTTAAAACCTTGAGGTAGCCTTGTCCAAGCATATTGGTGTTTTCTTCCATATACGGGGTTCTCCCACTCAAAGGCAAACAAGTGCTGGCTCTTCTTATGTATAAGTATTGTGAAAAAGGCATCCTTTAGGTCAATTACTGAGAACCACTTAGCCCTGGGGGGGATTAGCCCTAAAATGACATAAGGATTTGGGACCACCGGGTGGATAGTGACTGTGGCTTCATTCACAACCCGCAAATCCTAGGCTGGCCTAAACTTCCCTTCCCCCTTAGGTATTGGCAGAATTGGGGTGTTCCATTTTGATTCTATAGGGACTAAAATGTGATGAGCTAGATAGAGGTTTATTACCTCCTGGATAGCTTGTGCTACCACCCTGGGATATGAACGTTGTCTAATTCTGATAGGTACTTTAGTTGGTATTTCTTCCACTACAATTGGAGGATGATGTTTTGCAAAACCAGGGGGGTTGTCTTCTGCCCACAGGTGTGGCACATTGAACTCTTTCCACTTGGTATTTTCTTCTACTGCTTGTGCCAGCATCACCATTCTCCATTCCTCTTCACAGGGAACTTCCATAGTTACTTTTCCATCCTCTTCAAAGGAGACCTGCGCCCTTAATTTACAAAGCAGGTCCCTCCCTAGCAATGGGATTGGACAGTCGGGCATGTATACAAACTGGTGGGTTATCGTTCTTCCCCCTATTGTGCAACTTAGGGGCTCCAAAAAAGGTCGCTGTAATATTTTTCCTGTTGCTCCTTGTATATTAATAGAGTGAGGAGAGGCTTGGCCTAGGGGTTGGGTTAAGACTGATCGGGTGGCTCCAGTATCCACAAGGAAGGGAATAGATTTGCCTCCTACTGTTAAACTGACCACAGGTTCTGGGAGGCGGGCTGAACCCGGTCGGCCTCAGTCCCATTCCTCTGTTTCTGCCAGGCCTATGAGGGGGAGGGTCCTTGAAAATCCTTCTCTTCTTCCTCTCCCTCCCTGGCCTCTTCTTGGATTACCTCTGAAGCTTCTGGCAAACCTTGCAAATCTTCCTCTTCCCTCTCCTTGTTCCTCCTCCCTCTCTCTTTCTGGACATTCACCCTTCCAGTGTCCTTCCCTTTTACATATGGCACACTGGTTTCGTCCTAACACCATTCCCCTCCCTCTGCCTCTTCCACCGCCCCTTGGCACCCCCATCATAGCAACTGCAAGCAGCTCAGCCTTCCATTGCATTTTCTGATCTCTTTTCTTTTCCTCCTCCTTTTCCCTATTCACAAAAGTCTTCCGGGCTACTTCCATCGGCTCACTCATGGGCTTCCCTAGGGCGCCTTCCAATCTTTGCAGCTTTCTCCGAATATCAGGGGTGCTTTGTGAGATAAAAGCCATGGCAAGCATTCTAGCATTGTCAAGTTCTGTTGGATCAATAGGGGTGTACATTTGGTAGGCTTCAAGCAGCCGAGCATAAAATGCTTCTGGACTCTCTGTGGCTTCCTGCACCACCAAAGATGGTTTAGACATATTGACAGCTGGTTTCCCTGCTGCATGGACTGCCTGCACTGCTAATTGCTGATAAGCCTGCAATTCTTGGAGGTCACGATATGGATTCCATTTAGGATCTTTAGAAGGGAACTTAGCCTCGACATAGTCTTCAAGGGTGTAAAGTGAAGGCAAATCGGGCTTCACAATTTTTGCCACTTCTATTCTGATCTTTTCCCTTTCCTCCAGATTGAACAATGTTCCCATAAGCTGTTGCATATCCATCCAATTGGGGTTGTGGGTGTCTACAATGGTTTTTATCAAGTCTGCAACTTCATTTGGCTTTTCACTAAACGGCCCGTAATGAAACTTCCAGTTGAGAAGATCTGAAGTGGTGAAAGGCACATGTTGGAACAGAGGAGCAGTGGCTATGTCTGTAGGATTGTCTTTATTAACAACCAATTGATCCACTTGCCTGAGGGGAGCATTCAGAGAGACTAGCTCTGTCCTTGCCCTAGTCCTTTCAGCTACTGGCTCCTCTTCCTCCCTTCCCTCCGTTTGCTCTTCCTTCTCCTCAGTCCCAGAGCTCCCTTCTGCTGCTTGGGACGATGGTCCTGCTTGGGCTCCTTGATCCTGGACTGGTGTTCATCTCTGACCTTTCCTTTCCTCAAGATGGAGGCCTTTTAGCATTGGGGACAGCATGTCCAGGCGCCACATGGATCCCAATGCTGATGATGACCCTGGGGTTCCCCTCAATCCATGTGGAGGGATGTACGGTGGTGGATGTGGCAGTTCTTCTGGGCTACTTGGTAGAACTGGAATGGGCTTTTTAGCCGTTGGGAATGGCAAGGTGCGTGATACTAGAAGTCTACACTGCTCTTTGTTACACTTTTGGATCCAGGGGGGAGGTCTTTGCAACAAGCCAAGCCACACATCAATATAGGGTGCCTGGTCTGGGTGCCCTAATGTGGGATTGAACACTAGCTGATGTACCTTTTGGGTAATGTATGGATCTAGTGTCCCTGTGCTTGGCCAGCCTACGTTAAAGCTGGGCCAATCTATCTCACAGAAATTCCTCAATTTATGCCTGCTCCACTTAATACCATAATCCTGTGTCTCATAAGCAGACTTAAAATGCTGTAGCATGCACCCCAATGGAGTAAGGGGTACACTTTCACCACCCCCCATGAGCCTCCCAGGGCACCAGACAAGACAAATGAGGAAAAGGGATGAGAGGAAGGTAAGGGGTCCTTCCACTCAGGATAACACTGAGGGTTTTCACTTATACGCGTTAGACCCAGGGAGCCGGAAACTCAACGGTCACCGATGGGAAATTCAAACGCCATTCACTCACAACAAACACACACAACAATCCTCCCACCTTATCCTAAAGAGAGGGTGATCAGTCCTCTCCTCCGTCCCTGCTTACAGGGAGGGATTCCCTATTTCCCTCAATACTTGCCTGCAGGCGAATCCTCTGTCCTGAAGCCGGCTGGAAAGATGCCTGGTCTCCTCACCCTTCACCAGTGGTTCTTGGAGTGGCCGACTGCCGATGTCAGAGCCCTGTGACACAGGGAAGTCCCTCGGAAGAAAAGGTCCGATGGTGCCTGGGATATTCCCCCCTCACTGCAGGCTTCTGGCACCGGGGTGGGTCCTCCAGAGAGCCCCAAGACTCCTTGTCGTCCTGCCACGGTCGCCAGATAAATGTAGTGGAAAACCACAATACTTACATCAGAAGACAAGACCACGAAGGGCTGGAGAAAACAGGTTTTTATTTGTGCACAATGGTTCAGAGCATTCGCATGACAAATTCTGAACCCTGAACTATTCTCAGGGAGTAATTCTTATAGTATTAACCACCCACGCCTTAGCCTTAGGGTGGCTCTTATCTACCTTTGACACACTAAAACAGAGAAGTTTATATCTTGAAACTACTTAAGTAAAAAGGAGAAGTTCACACAAACGGTTGTCTTACCACACCTTTCTGCACGGGTGCTATCTTACAACATCTGTGACTTTTAGTTGACACTGACACTTCTTGTAAAATGGTTTCTACATAGCATGAACACATCTCTATAATTATGACACGCAGGTTATATTATTTAGGTTACATTTCACAGCCAAGCTTAATATTATCTATTAACTATTATCAGCAACAAGCATTCCTATTAAGATATAGATATACTGAACTTTTTCTTGCCCACCTCACTATGGCCCGTATGTGTAATAAATGCTGAACGGCTTCGTTCATCAGCCTTTTCTTTGTTCAGTTCCAGGGGTATGGACAAGAGAGGAATCGATTTGGGGGGTTGGAGATAAACTCCAGGGAAAGATCGTGACGCACGGTGTTGAGCATCCATGCGTTCATGGTGATGGCCTCCCACTGGTGGGCAAATAGAGAGAGTCTGCCCCCTATGGGAGGTACTGATGGGGAGTTACCTGGAGCAGCGGAATGGCCTGCTGTTCCCTCAAAAGGGCCGCTAGCCCTGTGATTGTTGTCTGGGTCTAGGAGTTTGCCTATTAAGCTGACTCTCCTACCTATACTGCCTGGCCAGGAAGGAGTGATATGGCTGGGTGTAATTGTATCTAGCTCCTGCATGAAAGGACTGTCTTCATGGGTAATAAGTGGAGTGTTTGTCCGATTTTTTGAGGAGGTGATTAAGGACCTTGCGTTTATCCTTATTTTCTGTTAAATAGGGATTCAGAGCGTCTCCAAACAATTTACCTCCCTGATATGGAGCAGCTGCCAGGTTCCATTTGGACTTAACGTTGGCTTGCCAGTATTTTAACCGAAGCATACGGCGACCAGTGATACTGGATGCCATAGCTGTAGATGAAAATCTGGCGGCTTGGAGAGTTGCGTCTGACACATACTCGGTGGTTGCCACCATTTTGCTGAGGTCTTGGTGTGTGCGGATATCCTCCGCTGGAATCTGGGCTTGAAGTTGCCGGAGCCAGCAGAGGGCGGCCCTGTTGAAAAATGAGGCGGAGGTTGCGGCCCTGATCGCCCATGCAGCCGCTTGGTGCGTTCTGCAATAAGTGGATTCGCACTTGCGATCCTCGGCTTTAAGGGCCTCAGAAAAATCCCTGGAAATAGCAGTGGCCGATACTAGGGGACCTAAGGGCTCATCCACAGCCGGTACGTCCAGAGCCTCCTCCAGATCCTTGGCAACATTGTACAACTTCTTGTCAGTGTTACCTGGGAGGGGAAGAGAAGTCGGAGATGTCCAGTGTTTTCGGATCGCATTCAGAAACAGAGAAGGGCAAGGGATGCAGTGTTGAGCCGCCACCAGTTCAATGAAGTTTGGGTCTGCCTCCAAGTCTGGGGGAGCAGGGTTTGTTGCTGATGAAGACTCAGACCCAAGATGGGCTGTGGATGTGGCCTTACGTAGTAAGGTGACAAAGAAAGAAGGGTTGAAGAGGCCGCTGAATGAAGGGGCCTCTGGAGGAGTTTCCTCCCCTTCAGACATTAGAATCTCCTGGTCTGTGCCAGGCTGGTGGAGGTAAGAACCCTCAGAGACTGATGACCCCAATGGGGAAGAAGGATTATAATAGGTCTCAGTCACCGGTTGTTGGATATGATGGGGAATGGCAGTCACTGGCCTGGAAGCCTGTGCCCTGGCATCAAGGGCCCTAGTCTACAGCTTGTGCAATAAGTAAGGCTAGTCAGTCCTCTGAAGGAAAACCGGCTCACTTGGCCGGAGTCCTGCCGCAGTAGGGGTGAATGTGGCCTCGGGAGCCCCCTGAGGAACCCGTGTAGTAGTGGATTGGGAAATGAGGAGAAACTTCCCTGTCCCACACTGCGTAGGGGAATGTAAGGATTCCCCTGTTGATCAAATCCCCAGAGGGGAGGTTGGAGCCCCCAGGGGTAAGTCCAGGGCCAACCCTTCAGTCTGGGATGTCTCCAGCCTAGCTTTTTTCTGCGCCTTGGAAAACTCCTTCTCTAAGGCTTGGTGTCTCTGGTTGGCCTGTTTGTCTATTCTTTTGGAAGCTTTGACAGTGGATCAGACTTTGGTTCTAGTTGCCGTCTTATCAACGCCTTCAGACCAGGTAGACTCGATGAGGAGGGCAAGGCACCCTTTGAGGCAAGGGTAGAGTCCTCCATTCTCCGATAGCACAGGAACACGATAGGGGGCTCCTGGTATCTGGAGAGTATTACACGCTGGGTAAGGACAGGCGCACTACAGGGTACGTCTGGAACCCAGGTACAGCCTCTGCATGGATAAGGACAGGCACACTACTGGGGACACCTGGAATCCAACCATGGCTGTTGCATGGATAAGGACAGACACACTACAGCCGGTGTCTGGAATCTGGCCTCAAACACTGTGGATAAGGACAGGCACGCTACCGGGGGCACCTGGAATCCAAGTATAGTTGTTACACGGATAAGGACAGACACACTACAAGAGGTGCCTGGAATCCGGATGAAGCCAATTGTATGAATGTTGACAATGTGGGAAACAGGAGACACCAGAGCCTGAAAAAAGGGAACCCAGAGAACCTGGATGTGCCAATAATCCAATTAGGAAAGACCGTCTAGGCCTCTTCCCTGAGAGCAGGCCTCAGTTCAAATGGGCCGACCTTATACACAAAATGGCGGCTGTCTACAAAATGGCGGCCTGCCAATCTGTAGTGAATCCTTTCTGTAGTGCCTGTTTTCTTGAGCACCCCCCCCCCCGCGAGATCCCTCGCTCCAAATAGCACTCAGTGGAGAAAAGAAAGGATCCCCTTCCACTTTAGTCCCCGAACTCAAGAGGCCTATTTACACCACACGGTCCCAAAATGGCAGCCACGTGTGAGACCACGCGATGCCAAGATGGCAGCCGCACGTGAGGGCCGACTCCTGGAAGCAAGGCCGACCCGAGAATCGATTCTGGGAAGGGAGTGCGGTTCGTGACGAAGTGAGGCAGAAAAAAACTGGCCAGTTTAGACTCACCGAACAGCCACAGTACAGCTGATCGGCACTGCTCTCATGCGCGTGCACCCCCTTCTCGGAATGAAAAACCGGCGATCGTCGATTAGGTGAGAGAATGGGCCGAAATTGCTCGGCTGGCCTGGATCAGCCTGCAGAGCTCCGACGGATTCCGAATGAGCTGGGAAGGTCTGTATTGCCCGTGGGAGGTATTTTCGGCCTGAAAACGGTCACTGGAGCCACAGCCACAAGCTCTGATGGAGATTTATTGATCTCCTCAGCTGGTTGGGTCTAACAGCCGTTAGTCCCACTCTATCCAGTGAGCAGAATTTTGGATGAGGGGAGGGGGGAGAATGAGGAAGGAACCCCTTCCTTAACCAGAGTTAGGTTATA